ACAATTTGCACAGACGAATTATCAGAGCGAATTTTCATATACTGTATTATCCTACTATTGTTACACAATTTATTAACATACTCTTTTTTAGGTTCTGTTGATAACGATTGCAGAAAATAGCTATCGAAACGTCAAGGTAATTTTTCAAATTAATTTCTTTACTAATTGGAATTTTCTCTTACAGCTTGAGCCCAAGTGTGTCGCAGGATACCCTCTAGGTGATAGTTCTTGATTACTTTTCGATAAATAATTTGTTCTTATTGCGAAATAGGAGCACTATTTATCAATCTGTAATAAAAGACGTGAGGAAATTCTGTCTTTTTTAAAGACAAACATTTTTGAGGCGAAATACCCAACAAGAAGTTTCTAAAAAAATGAATCCGCCTCAACAATATAGAACTTATCTATAATTTTCTTATTGATTTTTATATTTAAAACTTGCATATAAAAAACATTATTCTGCTTTCTCCCGAAATTAAAATCTCTCCTCCTCACCTGAATTAATTTTGGAACCAGCTTTAAGCTTTTGCATCTAGTTACAAAAAAAAACATTTTCGGTTCTTCTCTCTCGCTAGCTTAACCCTCAGCTTTATGTACTCCTTCACTATGGTGCATTCCATCTGTCCAACAAAATCAGGATAATTTACGACTATCGAAACTCAAGCTCAGCGTTTTTCCTTGATGCCAAGTTAAGAACAAATATTTTCGTCCGTTTTATTCGAAAATTTCAGAATAAGTTCCTCAAATACTTCATTAATTAAAAAAAAAGTTTTTTAGTAGTAGTCAAGCTTTGCTCTAAATAAAACGTTTACCCCAGAAATTAATGAGCAAAAACTGCATAAATCCCTTAAACCGCTCCTCGTTAACAAATGATTCACAAGGCTACATTTGCATGAAAAAAAACTTCATTTAAAAACATAAAATGCGCCTGTATAATTTATCGCATGCCATGTAAACTAAGTCCGCCAGCGAACTAGTAATTCTCCCTTTGGGGCACAATGCGGGAAATTTAATAAATTCTTTCAGGAAATTTTGCGCGCTGATAAAGGGCGATGTGTTACATTGAAACGAAAACATGGACAAAATTTAAACCTGCAGAACCGGGGCAAGCAAACAGGAGAGTTTCCATAGAGCGAAAACGAAACTCCATGCAAAAGTTAGAGCACTATTACACCACAGCCTTTAGACAAACAAGGACTCCCACTGGTATCATTAATAATCACAACTGCTCCACAATGCAAATTTCAATCCATTAGGCGCAATGGAAAGCGATAAGCCTCAAATTCTAGCTGTTTTCTTTATCGATTTTCCATTATCCGTGAATAATTAACGTTAAACGTTCCACATGCAATCGATCTGGACAGTTTCCATTTATGTTTAATAAAATAAAAATCGATTCTCAGGTTAGCAGGTCGAGGCAAACACTATATGAATAAAAAATGGTGTTGTTAGTGATAAGGTCCAGGCCCCATTTAGGTTTCCATTGATTTTATGGGACATAAAGCTGTCTAGACGCACGTAGGCTTAAAAAGACCAGTTTCATCCAAAGAAACATTTCGCCACTTTTCTGCTGGTTTCTATGCGTCCTACGTAGTAGCGCTTTTCCATGTTCCATCACAAAAATCGTCAGCCACTTTCCTAATTAATCTGTAGTCTGTGCCATGTTCATTGTGCCATCTGGCTGCCAAAGGTTTGGAAAGGTCAATTGGAAACTTGGCAGAGGAAGCCAGAAAGTGCCACTTTGGCCTAGTTGGAAATCATTGACGTAGTTATTTGCCATTAGCATTTGCGAGGAGTGTACTTTTTCTTATGCAACACGGAAATTTTTTCAGCAAAACAGCTTTTTTATATCCATTAAAGCAGAACGTGGCCAAGAACGACTAGCGCTAGTAAGGTGCTGATGCCTGTTCCACTAATCCATGAAACATATGCATTTTGCGTCTTTCGCCATTGTAATTCCTCTTACTGTGTCCTCCCGATTATTTCTGTTTGATTTTGTTCAAAATTCCAGGATTTTTCGACAATTATAAAACCGATTTTTTACCGTCTTTTTTACAAATAGGTTAATTATTACTTCATACAGGGGGATTCAAAATTGGCGTCATTCCTCTGGAGGTGTTGTTTGGCGGTGTATTAGGAGTACAAAAAAATAGTAAAAAAATAAATTGTTATTTAAAACTGAGAAATTTGCAGAAAACTATATTAGAAAAACGGCACCAATGTTTTTCAAGGTAATCTGCCTAATTAGCATTACGTAAATACCTGTTGCTTGGTAATTATTTAAAACTCCGGTAACCATGGATAAATAGAGAAAGTGACAATTAAATAGACAAGGATAAACGGTAAATTAAACAGGAATCCTTGAATGACGGAATCTTTTTCGAAATTCATAACCTCGAATTATTAATTTGTTTACAAATTACGAAAACATCATGTGTGTTATAATAATTATTTGGGTTAATATTTATTTAATTATATTAATTAATCATAATCATTATATGTGTTCAGTAAGTTTTTTTTGACTACTTAAGTATTCCAATATGATTCCAATTAAACATGAAGCACTTTCAAAATAATGCTTAATAACAAACTTGAAATTCGATTTTCAACTGTTAATATCTTCTAAAAATTATCGAAAAAAATTTCAATTTTTTTCTCGTACCATCCAAGTGAGCCCCTATTACTCATTAAAAGGAATGACGCCAGTTTTGAATCACCCTGTACATATTTAATGTGAAAGGATAAAACATTGCTTAAAAAACAGGCACATCCTGTATAAGCTAATTTCAGTTAAATTTTGATTTTTAAGAGGCTAAAAATCGTGAAAAATTTCCAGCACTTTCAAAGATTACTTTTAAAGTAATAATTTTCAATGTAACCGATATTTATTGCGATATTTTCAAAGTTGAGATACCATTTCATCTACTTAAAGTGTCGAATTAATTATTGAAAAGTTTTTGGCAAAAAAATTGTAAAAAATTTGCGAAATTGGTATATTTTTGGGAGTTTCTTCAGTCAAAAAACAAAAACGTCAAAAATATAAAGCAAAACATACCTGTCTAGCTAGTCTATTCTAGAAAAGACACATTAAATGAAATAGATGAGTGACAATGAGACCACGCAAAAAACTTTCTTTTCTCCAAAAACCGCACAAAAAAACCAACTCCCAAACATTTATTAGGCGAGAAAACGTTCTTCTGATTGAAAATAGAATATTACACATTACATAGAGAAAATAAAATAAGTTTTTTTCCTCTATAATACTTATGTTACTTTCTCTATGGTTACTCCACTGTCACATATCAAAATGGTTTGATATTTGCGCTGCGAACCGTCAAATTACTCGTTGCCTAGTGACAGTTGAGACGTGTCAGACTTGTCTATCTATAGGGGTTGGCAAACAACCGAAAAGTGAGAGATGCAATTGTAACAGAGTGCAATGAATTGAATGAAAAAAACACAACAAAACAAAACAAATGTCAAGTTAACAGTTGTATGTTTTTTAAAGTAATTTTAGCCACCAGGGAGCGTTTGCATTTTGACATGTTGACGAAACTACGTATTTTCCCCCAGGGGACCGAAAAAAAGCGTATTTAAATACATTCGAATAGGCCAGGAGAAATACAAAGTGCGTATTCGGGGAATATTAATCCAAATCGATGATGTTTTCATGCAACTTCAAAATATAGAATGTACAGGATGTTTCAGAGTTAAAGTCGCAAATGCTTTCCAATTCCAAAATCAAGTGTGAAAATTTTACGAAAAAATCACCCTGTAGGCTTTCATGGGATGTTAAAAACTCCTCCTAAAAAAATAGTACAGGGTTATTGATTGAACTTTGACCACCCCGTTTTTGCATGTAATTTGAAATTTAGAGAAAAATGTTAAATACAAAAGTTGTTGATATTAACGTCTAGTTTATTTTAAGATAAGACCAATTGATACAGGGCGTCTCAAATTCAAGTGGCAGACCAAACTTAACGTTTTTTAAATGGAATGCCGAACTTTTTATTGCATATTCGCTATTCGCACAATTATAGGCCTATTCAATCAATCAAGTTCAATCAATAACCTTTCAATCAATAACATTTCAGTATCATGGTTTCATTTTCATGTGACGCAGCGTTTCTGAGCGAAAAATTACACTAACACATCTCGACCAGTGTGCAATAGAAACTCCACAAAAAAATAATAAAAGGCATTTTATGTATTGAAAAAAAAAACATCTAGGAGCGTAAAAAGTTGCTGATTCCTGATTGATTTATACTTACCCGAAGACACACTGTTGGACGGTTGCATAGTCATTCCAATCGAACATATTTCGTTGCCCTCCTCAAATAGGCTGGACATATTGTGAATAATCGGTGTGGACGAAAGTTTCAGCACATCCAAGGCATTAATTGACGAATCCACTTCGATATGTGTTACCGTTTTGATACGTTGCGCGTGATATCAAAGAATCTTTGTACTATGGTGGATGGCTAATCGCGTAACATGGCAGCTAAACGCTAATTAGTGTTGCCCTTTAATTAGTTCCCAGGCACAAACAGTTGGGGCTTGGTTGGCTATAAGGGTGACAATAAAATTTACGTAAACCCGCCCGTAATCCTACAAGAGGATCGCCATAATCCTATGGAAAAAAAAACGAACGCCGAGAGAAGCGGAGGTTTGCTCAAACCGGGGGTTTTGGGATTACTCCAAATCGCACGATGGGTTTGCGGATAAAATCCCTCATAGATTTTCGGCATTCACTTATATCGGGCTTAGATTGAGATAAATATACTGCGGGGAATTTAGCGGATGGATTCCGAAACAGATTCCTCACACTTGGGCTGACAAACTTTTATCTCTCTACAAGAATGCCTTAATACCAATCAACAAGAAGGTTTAACAGTAAAAGAAGAATCAAGCACTAGAATATTTAGGTTGCAGAAGACAAAATTTGTCTGAAGTTTGGTTGCTTGGCTACCCGCCGCTGGATATTTCAGGAAAACTCTAAATTTGCTCGGAAAAGTTCTATTTGCTGTTTACTGTTGCTGCACTTTTCGAAAATACTTTCCACAATGCAACTCTCCATTACGAAAATCCTCAAAATAAAAAAACACAAACCCAGTGTTGCAAAGCGTACCGGTTTTGTTTTACAAAGACTACACAAAGTGTGCAAAAATCAGAATTAGGTGCGATTTGTATGACATTTTCAGGGATTTTTGAGTCAACTGTCTTCTATAGAGCGGGAAAGTTTCAAGTTGCTGCTTGCCCTAAATGAGAAGTTAGAATGTTTTTACTCACAGGATGCAGATGTGTCAATCCGTTCAATTTTCTGCCAAGTTTTGAAAAATCCGCAAAAATCAGAATTCGTAGCGATTTTGATAGATTATTTGTGTTTTCCGAATAAAGTAGTTTCTACATACTGCGAAAGTTTCAAGTTACCTCTAGATAATGATAAATCGTAACGAGAATTACGATGATTTTTGTAAAACAGAGGGTGCAGTTGCACGTAAACGTTCATGTTTGGGTCAACCTTTACAAAATCCGCAAAAATCAGATTTCGATGCGATTTAAATGAACTTTTCAGGGTTTGTAGAATAGAAACTCTTCTAGAGACTGCAGATGTTTCAAGTTGCTGCTTCTTCTATATGAGAAGAAAGAATGTTTTCAAACACAGAGTGCAGTTGCGTTGACACGTTCACTTTTGAGCCAAAATTTGCAAAATCGGCAAAAATCAGATTTTATTTTGCTTTGCTTTGAATTGGATTTTTATGGCTGTATAGAATCAAATGTCTTCTATAGACCTCAAAAGTTTCAAGTGGCTGCTTGCTCTAGATGAGGGGCTATGATTTTTTCAAACAAGTGCACGCAAGTGCTATGGATACGTTCGTCATTGCCAACCTTTACAGTCAGCAAAAAACAGGATTTGGCGCGATTGGAATAAAGTTCTCACAGTTGATAGAATCGAAAGTCTTCTATAGACTGCAGCAGTTTCAAGTTGCTGCGTGATCCAGATTAGTAGTAAGAATGTTTTCAAACATAGGGTGCAATTGTGTAAAAACGTTCATTTTTGGCCCAACATTTTCAAAATCCGCAAAAAAACACAGAATTAGCTACGGTTTGCATGGGATTTTCAGCGTTTTCAGGATTAACTATCGTTTGTAAACTGCGAAAGTTTCAAGTTATTGCCAGCCCTAGGGGAGGTTACGATGTTTTCAATCAGAGGGTGCTTTTGCGTGGAAACTTTAATTTTCAGCCAATATTTATCAAATCCGTAAAAATCAGAATTTGGTTCAATTAGATTAAAATTTTGAGGATTTCTTGAATCAAGTGTCTTCTATAGAGTGGAAAAGTTTCAAGTTGCTGCCAGCTCTAGATGAAAATATACAATTTTTTCAAATGGGAGCGCAGTTGTTGGTTTATGGGACAACGTTTTCAATGCCGCAAGAATCCGGATTAAGTGGGATTTGAATAAAATTTTCAGCATTTTGAGACTCGGGATTCTTCTATAAACTGCGAAAGTTTCCAGTTGCTGCTTACTCTAAATGAAAAGTAAGAATCTTTTCAAACTCAGAGCGCATCTGTCTGGATGGATACGTTAAGTTTTGGGGCACCATTTAGAAAATCCGCAAAAATTTGAAATTGCTGTGACTCAAATGGGATTTTCGGGGTTTTTAGAATGAAGTATCTTCTATAGACTGCAAAAGTTTCAAATCACTGATAGTTCTAGACGAGAAGTTACCATTTTTTCAAACAAAGGGTGCAGTTGGACGAATGCGTTCATTTTAGGGTCAACCAATAGAAAGTCCGCAAAAATCAGATTTCCATGCGATTTAAATGAACTTTTCAGGGTTTATAGAATAGAAGGTCTTCTATAGACTGCAGATTCAAGGTGCTGCTTGTTCTATATGAGAAGTAAAATTGTTTTCAAACACAGAGTACAATTTACTACGAATTAAATGGATTTTCAGCGTTTCCAGAATAAACTATGATCTATAGACTGTGAAAATGTCAAGCTCCCGCCGGCCCTAGAGAAGCAGTTACGATATTTTCAAGCACAGGGTGCAGTTGTACGAATACATCATTTTCGATTAAACTTTTACAAAGTCAGCAAAAATCAGGATTCCACGCGATTCGAATGAACTTTTCAAGTTTTACAGAATCAAATGTCTTCTTGTTGATGAATGATTCAGGTTGCATCTCGCTCTGGACGAGAAATTGGGAAATTTTCAAGCGGAGCGCGCACTTGTGTGGCAACAATAGTTCTGGACCCGCAATCTTATACCGCAAGCACTAAATATACAGGATCACTCCAAATTTTTCTGTGGAGCAAACGGGAACATTAGAAGAACCGGATCTTATTCTTAGTAAGAGCATGAAAGTAAGAATTTACAACTGAACCCACTAAAACACCCTGAAAGAAATGAATGAGAGAAGGTCAGAAAAATAATTAATATTCCCTGCATCAGTCGCAGGTTAAGTGATCCATTAAGCCGTCGATTAAGTCGGATTCCAGCCAAATCGGGATATGAAATTTCGCTATCGATAATGGACCTGAAAAGCTGATAAATCGTTCCAGCTGAATACGGGGAGATTGATTGCCATTTAATATGCCTGCCCTCTAAGGAAGCATTTCAAAGATTAATTATTATTATACTCGAGAGTCTACATGAAATATAGGAGTACTGGGAGGATGTTTTTACAGGAAGAAAAAACTCTATGAAAACCCGAAACGGAATAAAAACGGCAAAAAAATAGTCCTTTTCCGGATCCATCGGAAAATCATACAGTTAATTAATTCACAGTAGTATCAAAATAAATGGAGATTTACACCCGATTCAAACAAAAAACGCACCCGAGACTCTGCAGAAGTGAGCGAATTTTTGTAAAAAACCCTCAATTTTCATCTGAAAAAAGTCATGTTCTGGCAACAATTTCCATCCGATAGATTTGAAAAACAACCTTAAACGGCGCCGACTAACTCCAGATAACTTTAATCCCCATAATCAATGGCGCAGTTGTGTAAGATCCAAATATTTTAACAAAACATCCGAGATGCTCGAAATCACATGGATAGAGTACATCCTGATGACTTTAATCTTCATGTTTTTATCTTGAAACTAGGTGAAACTTAAATAGAATCTTCCCGCTTCATTAGTCTGCAACAAAGGATCGCTAATAGATCCTTTTAAAGATTTCATAAGCTGAGTGGAGTAGATAAACGAAACTTTTTGAAGCGCTTTTATACTATCGGTTTTTATTCCCGTGTTTTACGTACATTTATCGGAATGAAGAGACAAAAAAAACTTAAACAAAACCGGTATAAAGCGTATGTTTCTATAAGAAATGCCTTTGGCCCTGGCTGATAAAGCCGGAAAGAAATTGTTTCCATAAGATGCAAAAAAGGGCTAGTGTTTGTAAGGCGAAACTTTCACAGTCATAATTTCTCTATAAATTATCTGCGTAATAATTTAATTTATTAAAATTCATTTAAAAAATTATAAAATTTAGCGGCGGATTCGAATGGAAATCGACCAAAAACACCGAAAAAGCTAAATTAAAAAAATATTTAATTGTATGTGTCAATATGTACTTGAGATGGATTAAATGCGAATTAATTTTCAAGTGCACTTTTGAGAACAACGTGACCAAATAATTCATGGGGCCTTTACAGAAATGAAACTCATACAGACATTCATTTTTTTTTTTTCATTTTTTCAGTTTCTATAGTTAATTGGAGCACCCTGTATATTTTAGTTTGTTTTTGTTAAAAAAATGTCGCGATCTACATATAATCAACATACTAGAACTAATGCTTTATATAATTGTCAAAATTTAATTAACGAGAATTTATTAAACAACCACCTCAGATGGCTGTGAAAGTTGACCATTCTTAATGGCTTCAAGCGGCAATGTCAACAATGACACAACAAATGAAAAGCAGGCATTTTCAAACTGACAGTCAATTGTTTACTCTCTTCGTGACATTGTTGACACTTCAGTGCGAGCGTATCAAACATCTATTATATTAATATTAATGGATTAGTGGAGACTATTTTCTGTCTGGTGTCTGGGTCTGTGTGGATTTTCTATAGAAACATTGTTGTATTTAGAAATTTCTAAAATAAACCGAAATAACGAACAATAATCCGTTTCAATGATCTACTCGAAGAAGGCTTAAGGGTGTGAAAACCAAATATTCCAGAACACCATTTTTTGCATGCAAACATTCAAATAGAGAAATATTGGGGGTTTTTAATCAGTTCTTGGAAACTCGACAATTTCCTGGATAAAGTAATCGAGACCATCCTGCAGCAAAACTTACCTACAGGTAACCAAGCAAAAATTATATTTAAATGTGAACAATCGAACCCAAGAGTGGGAAAAAATTACCAATAGACTGGGACCACTTAAATCCGGGAAAAAACGCGCAAATGAACATCGACAGAGAAGAGCAACAAGCAACGCAAATGGGCAATGAAGAAAACTTTAGAGACAAACGAAAACGCAAAGTTGGAAAAGTTTTCCGTAACCCGGAGCGAGCGCTCGCGTGGTCGCTGATCCGGATCCAGCTACCGATCCAGAGTCCCGTTAACAACTGCTGCAGCTGCCTGGCACGCCGGGACTCTGGGGGCAAGTCGACGCAG